ACTGGCCCATCTGATCAAGGTCCCATTGAACTCTGAAGTAACCTTCTTCACTATCCACTAAGCCACCAATCCTGGTGTTGTCTCTTTTAGAGTCCTCCATTCTGTTTGTCAAATTTCAAATTTGTCATAAATTAATTAGAAAATTTTTAAAATGTCAAATGTTTATATATACTGAGAAAAAAATTTCAACAGACTTTGATGGTATATCACACTTATTTTTCTTACAGTCCAAGCAACACCCATTTAACCAAAGTTGTTTCATATCCAACTTCATATTTGCCAAATTTCCTCTTATACCACATTACATCATTTTTCAACAAGCCTCAAGACCTTTAGAGAAGAATTTCGAAAAATCTATACCTATCACGTTTCCATTAGTGCAATTCTTGAAAAAAAAACAATAAGCTTGCAAAACATAACTTCTCTGAAGCAAATCAATATTGGTTGCTATGGATTAACTTATGCACTCCTAAATGCTGACCTATACTGGTAGCCTGCTTCTAGATCTTAAACCTGATAACAAACTTACCGACGTCAGCAATGTTGTTCCATGTTAAACCTCTAAGCTGAAAGCTTCATTTTCTCTGAAATAATGGTTATGTTCTTCTTACCTGAAAATGCTTCACTTTTGTTCACATGGTTGATGTATTTAAATCACATTACCTGGCACTTCAACTCCTGACCAATGAAGAAATATCTGAAAGCCTAATGTGGGATGGATATGTACAGCAATTGCGCACCTAAGAAGAGGTGGTGGCTGGAGACAAGAAACTGGAAATTGTGGAACAGATTGAAAACATCACAAGAATCATGAACGTAATTGGGAAAAGATCATACAAGGGGCAAGAAAATAGGAAAAAAATAGGTTTAGTAAGGCAGGAACAGACTGAAATGATGGGTTTGCCAGAGCAGTCCTGTTTGTGTTAAGACTCTGGTTTCATATTTGAGATGAGCTTTCAAACACATATCAATCAACAGTATCTCTTAGAACCATCTATTCTACTTTATAACATTGGGCACTTTCACTCCAGCCTATGCTCAGCTCCTGCTGAAACCCTTATCCATGCCTTTATCTCCAAACTTGATTATTCCAGTGCACATCTAGCTAGCCTCCAAGTGCAACTGTATTAACTTGTGGTCAATCAAAACATTATTGCCCTGGTCCTAATTTATACACACTACACGGTAAGTGGCAAAACTCTTAGAAGCATCAATATGACCAGTGGTGTACTGCCGGGATTTGTTCTGGGACCTCTGCTCTTCGTGATCTTTATAAATGACTTGGATGAGGAAGTGGAAGAGTAGGTTAGTAAATTTGCTAATGACACGAAGGTTGGTGGAGTTATGGATAGTGTGGAGGGCTGTTGTAGGTTGCAATGGGACATTGACAGGCTGCAGAGCTGGGCAAAGAAGTGGCAGATGGAATTCAACCCAGAAAAGTGTGAAGTGATTCATTTTGGAAGGTTGAATTTGAATGCAGGATACAGGGTTAAAGGCAGGATTCTTTGCAGTGTGGAGGAACAGAGGGATCTTGGGGTCCATTGATCCCTCAAAGTTGCCACCCAAGTTGATAGGGTTGTTAAGAAGGCATATGGTGTGTTGGCTTTCATTGGCAGGGGAATTGAGTATAAGAACCGCGAGGTTATGCTGCAGCTGTATAAAACCCTGGTTAGACCACACTTGGAATATTGTGTTCAGTTCTGGTCACCTCATTATAGGAAGGATGTGGAAGCTTTAGAGAGGCTGCAGAGGAGATTTACCAGGATGCTGCCTGGACAGGAGGGCAGGTCTTGAGGAAAGGTTGAGAGAGCTAGGGCTTTTCTCATTGGAGCGAAAAAGGATGAGAGGTAATTTGATAGAGGTGTACAAGATGATGAGAGGAATAGATAGATAGCCAGAGACTTTTTCCCAAGGCGGAAATGACTATTACAAAGGGGCATAATTTTAAGGTGATTGGAGGAAGGTATAGGGAAGATGTCAGAGGTAGGTTCTTTACGCAGAGAATGATGGGTGCGTGGAATGCGCTGCCGGCGGTGGTAGTGGAGTCAGATAGATTAGGGACATTTAAGTGACTGTTGGATAGGCACATGGATGATAGTAAAACAAAGGGTATGCAGGTTAGTTTGACCTTTAGGGTAGGATAATAGTTTGGCACAACATTGTGGGCCGAAGGGCCTGTACTGTTCTATGTTCTATACTGTACACTAAATGGCAGAACCCTTAGCAGCACCAACATGCAGAGGCATCTAGGCATATAGGTCCACGGTTTCCTGAAAGTGGCAACACCGGTGGATAAGATGCCTGGATATAAAAAGAAAATGCAACAGAAGAGTTCTTCCAGTGCAGTGATAGTGTCCCTGGGTTCAAGTCCTCGTCCAAGTGTGTCTAATAAAATATCTCAACGGGTTGATCAGAAGAATAAAAAATGGAATAGATGTCCTTCGTAGGCAGTGCTTGTTAGTTGTTACTACCTAGTTGCTTTAGTTAATTTTGTGGTGGGATTTCAAAATTAAGAAACAGTCTGTGTTGAGGTTATTGGGTTGGGAAATATATGTTTGTAATATGTACCTCTGTAGACAAATACTCATAAAGTGTGCAAAGACTTGTTTTATTTCTATCCTTCACTAGTTGGCTTGTTTCCCCTTTCAGCTGTTTCCATGTTGTATTGAGTTATCACCTTAGTGTCAACCATCTTTTACAACTTTACAGCTGGTTTCACAAATGGATACTCTTTCTTAGGTTAACCTTCCCTATTTATCCAAGGCTGGGAAACACAGCAAAGTTCACTGCTTGGCTTTCTGGCCAAGAATTATAAGAATCCTAGTTCAGATCCCATTTCTCCCACCCCCTCTAAAGTTTGGAATGCTAAAGCCAACTGTTATGCATTTATAACAAAGACAGAAATTGCTGGAGAAACTCAGCAGGTCTGGTAGCATCTGTGGAGAGAGAGCAGATCAACGTTTTGGATCTTATGTCCCTTTGGTCTGAAGAACTGCTCTGAACAAGGATCACTCAACCCAAAACATTAACTGTGCTTTCTCTGCACTGATGCTGCCAGACCTGCTGAATTTCTCTATTTGTTTCAGATTTCCAGCATCAGTAGTTCTTTGTTTTTTTGATGAGGGAATAGGTGCTCTCTTAGGCCATAGAAATACAGCGAGACTTTACTATAAAAGCATCTTCAGCTGATTTTAATTCAAATGTTGATAAACGTAAAACACATTTGATGGTCATTGGACCTGAAATATTAACACTGGTTTCTCTCCACAGATACTACCAGACTTAGCTGAGCTTTTCCAGAAATACAGTTACTCCCATGTCCATGGGTATATGTTTGTAGATTTGGGGTGACAATCTAGTGAAAGCACCATAGGTTCATCTGAGCAGTTGACGAATACAATGAAAGAGAGCTCGTTTTACGATCAGAGGAGCATGTGAACCCAAGGGTATACTGAGCACCAAGTTAATGATATAGGTCTGGAGTCCATTAAGATGGCAGTTGCTGGATGCACAGCATAAGATGCTTGCAGACCTGATGGATACTCCTGAGGATGTGTACTTGTCTCAGACAGTGAAGGTGTGCATCCAGTGCTGTCATTTTCCTCTCATCTGTGCATTTTCATCTTTCACTGAGACACTGGTGACTCTCAAAGGGAGTCAAATCCAGCACAGCAATCAATGATCTGGTGATGCGTACAAACTTGCATGTCATTGCATTGTCTGAGTTCTACATAGCCATGGCAAGGTGGTAGTGGTCATGATGGTGGTGTGGGGTGGGGGAGGGGAGAGGGTGGGGTTGGTGTGGTGTCGTGTCACATTGCTATCATCCTCATCTGGATTTCCTATGTGTGCTTTTGGTGTGGACAGCAGCTTCTTCACCCCTGCAACTGACACCAGTACTGCAACTTGTGGTAATAACTGAACATGCTAGGGCCCTCCAAGATTGGGGCAACGAGGGCATGTCACCAAGGTCCTCCCAAGATACAGACAGCAGGTCAGCAGCCTACCTCTACCATAGCTGATTCTGCAGGGAGAAGCACATGCAAAGGAACTGAAATACTACAAGCTGTCCTTGGAGCTCAGCTGTGAATATATTGTTAAAGTTATCACTGGAGTTTGTAATAAATACATAATCGGCAACATCTGCCTCCATTATATGGTGGCCTTCTAGAACTTTAGTACCCTTGCTTGTCCTGACATTGGGAGGGACCATAGATAGCATAGGTAAAGTGAAAAGCAAACACTAAGAAACTAGGTTTCAGTGGGTGCCAGGCCATTTAAATTAAGGAAATGACAATAGTGCAGGAGTATAGATCTTTGTTGGATTGGAATGATTAGGCAGCAAGGGTCATCTGAAATGCATTTATGTAGGCTTCAACTATGTTTATTACCTGGCTCAATGGTGTAATCTCTAGGCTCCTTCATGGTGCATCAGCTGCTCATCACCTTCCTTCCTATCCTCCAGCTCAGAGAAGGTCATGCAATCCACTACATCCTAATTGCCCAACATTCGCTTGCTAAGTAGTACCAGATGTGAAAAACACAGCCTACCACAATACCAGGGACTCTCAATGCAGCATATTGAAGGATTCCACCAGATTGATCCAGACACCTAAAATCAGATCTTCAAGAGACCTTTGGCTTGCTCAATTCAAGTTGTCACATGACAACATTGTACTACTTCTCTACATCTATCCTTGAAGGAGGTTCCAAGTATGTAGGCATCAAGGCTGCTCCTTGGGAAGAATGCCAGATGTACTGGTTGGATTGTGGACTAGTTGGACTTTAATGGATTGACAGAAGGCTGCCAGCTGTCCTGTGGGAGCCTTGAGAACCACTTGCATTTATTTAAAATATGCACAATTTTGTTCAATAGCTGTACTGCAGCAAATAAAAATAATCTAGAATGGGGGTAACTGCAGTGGACAAAGCTACACGCTGGAACAATATTTAGGGGGGAGGGTGGTGGCGAAAGACAGGATTTTCAATAATTCCATAAATGTATAAAAGTTGCATGTTTATTTTTGTTTTCTTTTTACATATGCACACTAATCAGTGCCAAACTACTTTGATTTGAACAGATTTTCCAAACTGAGTTGCTCAGCACCCGGTGATACCTCTGTGCTTTTTGGAATTTCAGGAAACATTGATTGCATCTTTTCTCGGAATTCTGTCAGCTGCAGAAAAGATGGGAAGAAAATTATTAATCATTCTGAATGAAACTCAATGACACAATGTGAATACAGATAAATGTAATTTTTGCTTGTTTAAATTAATTTGTAGTCAGATCAATTGAAATGGGCAGGGAGATGAATTCCTTTTGCTCCTATTTGTGGAGAGATAACCTTTACATTCCTTTGAAATTAAAAGCAATTATGTTTCAAAATGGCTATTTCTTCCACTGTCTCCATTTCTTTATAATTAACCAGGGATAGTGTACAAAAATCAATGGTCTAACATTTTTTGTGATATTATTTCAACATTACAAATGTAATGTTGAGAGTTACACAGACATTAAAAACCCACTTAACATTTGTCTCTTCTTATCCAACTCCAATACAATTATGAAAAATATTGATATAGATCAAATTGAATGGGGTGAAATCAGATCTGCTCTGCTGAGGAAGATGTTAACAATGACCAGTAACAATGCCTAAATAAAACTACCTGTTTATTTTAACATATATGTTTCTCTATTAAAAGGGGCAACAAGCCCCAGCTCTTTTACAGCTATCTTTTGGTATTTTGCAAGGAAATTAAAGGTTACAGTTCAGCTGGTCCTATCATTATTCTCATGTAATATCTTAAGTGTGCACTCTTCAGATGAAGTCACTGATTGGCAATGAGATACAAATATTTCTCACTGATTAATTGTTTCTTTCCTTATCCTAACAGTCACTGTAGTGGTCAGTCTGAAAATAAGTTAAACTTAGCAAAAATCTTATAAACATTTGGCAAGATTACATTTGGAGTCTGGTACTTCAGAGACATTACCTAGTCCTTCATACGTGAGACTGAAAATATTTCTAACTCTCTAAACATTTTATGATTTCTTGTTTCAAACTATGTCTCTCAGTTCAGTGAATCAGTGATGGCCAGTGTTTCCTATATGGGAGGTTATCCAGTATCAGGCACAGCTGGCCATCAAGGGAATTGACCCAGCACATTAACGTTAGTAATCTATTAGCCAAACTTGCTGGATCTACTGGAATGCTGTTGCCACAGTATTCAGCAATATGAAGGGGCAAGTGCAGAGTACTGTGCATATAAAAGGCACAGGTCATCAAACATACATCTTATTGACACAACTGAATGCAACAATGGAGATCATAACTCAAATCTTCTGCTGAACATCCCTCCCATGGCTTGCTTGCAAATATTATGGCAGTGTAGATCTGGTGACTGATGAAACATGCAAACTGGTTGCAATCATCCATGCTGCAACTTACTCACCACTCTAGGATGACTTGTTCATACACTTACATCGCTGCGCCCTTATGGAATAACTTTGAGCAAAATCTACCAGCAGATATTGTTTAGTTCAAGCAATGGGAGACAGGAAGTTACTAACAAACTCCATCTGTTGAATTACCACCGTAACAGTGGCACTTGTTAAACCGGTTCAGGCGCACGTCAGGCTCCTACATAGTCAACCTCACTGTTCAATCATCAGTGTAAATCCCCCACACACTTGTGGAGTGATACTATTAATGTTTCATATTGTGGAAGGGACGCTCCCAGCAGATTAATCACTTTAAACTGAGCAAATGAGGAAGCTCTTGCTTTCCTTTGGAGATTTACATCCATTAAATAAATAAATGGAGTATGTGTTTCCAGACGCCAAGAACTGGTGCATACACAGATGCATTCCTTTCTGTGATGCCAGTCAGCCACATCTGGACTGGATTGACACTATGCATCTATGTATGTGCAAATGCCATCATGACATTAGTGCAGGAAGTTACCTCCCATGCATGCGCACGGCAGTCAACATCACTTTCCTCATGTCACTGCATATTCCTCCACTGGTATTTGAAACATCCATGAAATGCTAAGGCAGCAAGGTACAGGACATGATTGCTCCAGCCGTAATATCAGCGCTGGGCAAAAGGTGTCAGCTTTACGTTTGATCAACGTTCCCTCTAAGCTGCACAGCTATGCAATGCTGGAAGATTTTAAGAAGCTGATCGGTGTGCCGACACATTGGCTTCTGCTGGAGGAAACTGTTGCCACATCTGAACCTTGGAAGTTCGAGTAGTAAAAGAAAAAATTAGGGAGATGTTGCATTTGATGAAATACTTCTGCTGCGGATAGTTAGGAGATGTTTCTACCTGGCCTGCAAATGTATGAACAGTGTGAACTTTGTTAAATACAGGTGCCAGCTTGTCACCTGATATGGCATTGCAATGCTGCGTCTTGTATCCGTATGCACACGTTTCACCACTAGGCAGTGATGTTAATGTTAAACACAACCAAAAACAAATAACTCAGTTCACTAAACTTCTATCCACACTAAAGAGTTTACAATGGGTAACAATGTAATGGAATATGACATCACAATTTTTTGACGGTTCTATAGTTCCACTAATTTATAGTCCTGAAATCCAAATCCATCTCAATACATTAACTGCAATCTCATGTGCTTTACTTTTACAGTTATCTCTGATGTGGGACATAAGAACTAGGAGCAGGAGAAGGCCATCTGGCCCCTCAAGCTTGCCCCGCCATTTAATAAGATCATGGCTGATCTTTTTGAGACTCAGCTCCACTTACCCGCCCAATCATCATAACCCTTAATTCCTTTACTGTTCAAAAATTTATCGAGCCTTACCTTAAAAACATTCAGTGAGGTAGCTTCAACCGCTTCACTGGGCAGGGAATTCCACAGATTCACAACCCTTTGGGTGAAGAAGTTCCTCCTGACCTCAGTCCTACATCTGCTTCCCTTTATTTTGAGGCGATGCCCTCTAGTCCGAGTTTCACCTGCTAGCGGAAACAACCTCCCTGCCTCCACTTTATCTATTCCCTTCATAATCTTATACGTTTCTATAAGATCTCCCCTCATTCTTCTGAATTCCAATGAGTATAATCCCAGTCTATTCAGTCTCTCCTCATAATCCAAACCTCTCAACTCTGGAATCAACCGAGTGAATCTCCTCTGCACCCCCTCCAGTGCTAGTATATCTCTTCTCAAGTAAGGAGACCAAAACTGCGCACAGTACTCCAAGTGTGGCCTCACCAGGACCCTATACAGCTGCAGCATAGCCTCCCTGTTTTTAAACTCCATCCCTTGAGCAATGGCAGACATAATTCCATTTGCCTTTTTAATCACCTGCTGCATCTGCAATCCCACCTTCAGCGATTCATGCACAAGGACACCCAAGTCCCTTTGCACAGCAGCGTGCTGCAATTTTTTACCATTTAAAACATAGTCCATTTTGCTGTTATTCCTACCAAAATGGATGACCTCACACTTATCAACATTGTACTCCATCCGCCAGACCTTTGCCCACTCACTTAGACTATCTATATCCCTCTGCAGACTTTCAGTGTCTTCTGCACACTTTGCTCTACCGCTCACCTTAGCATCATCTGCAAATTTTGACACACCACACTTAGTCCCCAACTCCAAATCATCTATGTAAATTGTAAACAATTGAGGTCCCAACACTGATCCCTGAGGCACACCACTAGCCACTGACTGCCAACCAGAAAAACACCCATTTACCCCTACTCTTTGCTTTCTACTGGTCAACCAATCCTCTATCCATGCCAATACACTACCTGTAATACCGTGCAACTTTATCTTATGTGGCAGCTTGTCAAATGCCTTCTGGAAATCCAGATACACCACATCCACAGGTTCCCCGTTGTCCACCATGCAAGTAATGTCCTCAAAGAATTCCACCAAATTAGTTAAACATGACCTATCCTTCATGAACCCATGCTGGGTGTTCCAAATGGGACATTTTATATCCAGATGTCTTGCTATTTCTTCCTTAATGACAGATTCAAGCATTTTCCCCACTACTGAAGTTAGGCTAACTGGCCTATAGTTACCTGCTTTTTGTCTACTTCCTTTTTTAAACAGCGGCGTCACATTGGCTGTTTTCCAATCTGCGGGAACCACCCCAGAGTCCAGTGAATTTTGGTAACTAATTACTAGTGCATTTGCTATTTCCCCCATCACCTCTTTTAGTACCCTGCAATGCATTTCATCAGGGCCAGGAGACTTGTCTACCTTTAGCCCCATTAGCTTGCCCAGCACTGCCTCCTTAGTGATAATGATAGTTTCTAGGTCCTCACCTGCTTTCACCTTCTTGCCATCAGTTGCGGCGTGTTATTTGTGTCTTCCAATGTGAAGACCGACACAAAATAACTGTTGATTGTCTCGGCTATTTCCTCATTCCCAGTTATTAAATTGGCCTTCTCATCCTCCAGAGGACCAATGTTTACCTTCACCACTCTTTTACGATTTACATATTTATAGAAACTTTTGCTGCCTGTTTTTATATTCTGAGCTAGTTTACTCTCATAATCTATCTTACTTTTCTTTATAACTTTTTTTGTGGCTTTCTGTTGGCCTTTAAAGATTTCCCAGTCTACTAGTTTCCCACTACTCTTTGCCTTTTTGTATGCGTTTTTTTTCAATTTGATACTTTCCTTTATTTCCTTAGACATCCATGGCTGGCTCTCTCTTTTCCTACAGTTCTTCCTTATCACTGGAATATACTTCTGCTGAGCACTGTGAAAAATTGTTTTGAAAGTCCTCCACTGTTCCTCAATTGACCCACCATAAAGTTTTTGCTCCCATTCTATCTTAGCTAACTCCTTCCTCGTTCCTTCATTGTCTCCTTTGTTTAAGCACAGGACATAGGTACTGGATTTAACCTTCTCACGCTCCATCTGTATTTTAAATTTGACCATACTGTGATCGCTCCTTTCGAGAGGATCCCTAACTGTGAGATCATTAATTATTCCTGTCTCATTACACAGGACTAGATCTAGGATAGCTTGCTCCCTTGTAGGTTCCATTACATATTGTTCAAGGAAATTATCGCGGATGCATTCTATGAACCCCTCCTCAAGGCTGCCATGACTGACCTGGTTTGACCAATCCATATGTAGATTAAAATCCCCCATGATAATTGCTGTACCATTTTTACATGCATTAGCTAATTCTATGTTTATTGCCCGCCCCACCACAATGTCATTATTTGGTGGCCTATAGACCACACCTATCGGTGACTTCTTCTCCCTGCTATTCCTAATTTCCACCCAAATGGATTCAACGTTTTGTTCAGTAGAACCTATGTCATCTCTCACTACTGCCCTGATATCATCCTTAAAAATCAGAGCAACACCACCTCCCTTACCTTCCTGTCTGTCCTTCTGAACAGTTTGATACCCCTGGATATTTAACTTCCAGTCATGACCATCCTGTAACCATGTCTCTGTATTGGCCACTAAATCATACCCATTTGCCATGATTTGCACCGTCAACTCATCCACCTTGTTTCGAATGCTCCAAGCATTCAGATAAAGTGCCCCTATGCCAGTTTTTGCACCTTCTTTTTGGGTCCTATTACCTCCATTACTAACAGCTTTTGAGTTCTCCTTCCCTTTAACTTTTTTCCTAATTTTCAATGGAGTTGAAGCTTCCTCATCACCTGCTAACCTGCTGCTTTGCCTTACATTAATTGTTATTCTCCCTCTACGCTCACTTCTCCGTTCCCCCCTACTTACTAGCTTAAAGTCCTATTAACCACCCTATTTACCCTTTTCGCCAGAACACCGGACCCACCCCTGTTCAGGTGGAGTCCATCCCAGCGGTATAGCTCCCTCCTGTCCAAGAACTGATGCCAGTGCCCCATGAAAAGGAAACCCTCATTCCCACACCACTCTTTTAGCCACGTATTTACTTCCCTGATCCTCGCCTCCCTATGCCAATTTGCACGTGGCTCGGGCAGCAATCCAGAGATTATGACCCTTGAAGACCTGTTTTTTTAATTCTGTTCCCAGCTTTTCATAATCCCGAAACAGGTCCTTTTTCCTAGTCCTGCCTATGTTGTTGGTACCTACGTGGACCACAACAACTGGATCCTCTCCCTCCCTCTCTAGTATCCTCTCAAGCCGGTCAGAGATGTCTCGCCCCCTTGCACCAGGCAGGCAACACACCATGCGGGATTCTCTATCCTGCTCACAAAGGATACTGTCTATTCCCCTGATGATGGAATCCCCTACAACTACAATCTGTCTTTTTGCTCCCCCCTCTTGAATGGCCTCCTGGACCATGGTGCCATGGTCAGCTGACTCATCCTTCCTGCAGCCCTGTTCCTCATCCACGCATGGAGCAAGTGCCTCATACCTGTGGGACAATGTCAAGGGCTGCGGCTCCTGTGTTCCTGTCTGCAGGGTCCCTCTACCTGCCTCACTCGCAGTCACACACTGCTGTCCCTGCCCGCCGATCGAATTAACATTAGTCAATCTACCAGGTGTGACTGCCTCCTGGAACACAGTATCCAGGTATTTCTCCCCCTCCCGGATGTGCTGCAGTGTTTGGAGTTTGGATTCCAGCTCATCAATTTTGAGCCGGAGCTCCTCAAGCAGCCAACACTTGCTGCAGATGTGGTCACTGCCGTTCTCAATGGGATCAGCTCGCTCCCACATCATACAGCTACAACACATCACCTGGCCTGCCATCTCTACTTAGTTAATTATTTAAAATTAATTAGTTTTTTTTAGTTTTGCAGTGTTCGCTGCACCAGTAAGTTTACTCTGTTATATACTCAAAACAGACTCTGACTTTGCGTTCCGACCCACTCCCAGGGGATTTGGCGTCTAGTGACCACCCCGAAAGATAACAAAGAGATAAGGAAAAAAAAATGGAAATACCTTCCCAGGCTGCCCTCGCGCTTCCTCCTGGACTCCTGCCGCTGAAACAACTGAAAGGCCGCAGTCACGCAAGGTAAGTCTTTTATAATCGAAAAGCTTACCTTCCCAGGCTGCCCTCGCGCTTCCTCCCGGACTCCCGCCCCTGAAACAACTTTGTTGGACTCCTCCTGAAAGTCCATACAAAGCACATCCACTAGCTCCCCCTAATTAACTTTAATAGTTACAGTCTCGAAGAATTCCAGTAGATTTATTAAGCAGGATTTGTCTTTGGTAAATGCATACTGAGTTTGTCTGATCCTGCTACCGTTTTCCAAGTGCTCTCCTATGAAATCATTGATAACTAATTTGAGGATTTTTCTCACTGCCGGCATCAGGCTGACTGGTCTATAATTGGATTTCTCTCCATCTCCTTTTTTAAATAGAGGGGTTATATTAGCCACCCTCTAATCTATAGGAAATGTACCAGAGTCTCTAGAATCTTGGAAGATGACCCCCAATGTACCTACTCTTTCTAGGGCCATTTCCTTAAATATTCTGAGATGAGAATTATCAGGCCATGGGAATTTGTCAGCCTTTAATCCCAACATCATTTCCTAGTAATACCGATTTCCTTCACTTCCTCCTTCACAATGGTACCATGTTCCCCAAAATTTCTGCTATGTCATTTGTGTCCTACTTTGTGACCACAGAACCAAAGTATGTATTTAGTTGGAAAATCATTTCTTTGTTCCCATTATTAATTCCCATTTCTGATGGTAAAGGGCCTGCATTTGTCTTCACCAATCTTTCTTCTCTTCACATACCTAAAAACTTTTACAGTCAGTTTTTACGCTCCCCACAAACTTACTCTTGTACAATATTTTCCCTTTCTTAATCAATCCCTTTATCTTCCTTTGCTGAATTCTAAATTACTCGCACTCCACAGGGTTATTTCTTTTTCTGGACAATTTGCATGCCTCTTTCTTGGTTCTGATACTATACCTAATCCATGCTTTTGCTACGTTATCCATTTAACTTTTGTGTCAGACAAGAATGAACAGTTGTTGCAAGGGCTCCACGATTTCTTTGAATGTTAGCCATTGCCTTTCCACCATCATCCCTTGTTCCCTAATCCATCATTGGGATCAAACTGTAACATTAATCTGAGGCTTGAACAGATTTGGGAGTTGGAGCAAAGATGACTTCACAGTCAGTCTAGAGTTGCTAAGAGTTGGTCAGTGGGCCAAAAGAGCCCATGGGAGGTACAGGTAGCTTTAAATTTAAATTTTAGGTTTCCTTATAGGAACATGTAGCAACTTATTGGAGGTGCACATTCCTGTGGTTCCTGCTCCCATCTGCTGAGCAAATAGTGGGTATAGATAGGACTCTGGGAAAATGTTCAGAAAGCACTTTTAGTCACGCCTTCCTGTTCCTTATCCACACTTCCAGACAAAGAATTTGAAGTAAAAACTTGATATAATGAAAGATCATTGGTGTTACAAATTGCAGTTATGGACAACAGCATAATATAAATCTTCACTGTTGTTGATTTGGGATATTAAAATAAATGATACTTACACTGTGTACTCCTAAAGTCTTCCAGATTGTAAGACTAAGCAAACCAACCCCACACCAAGCATAAAGAGAACCCCAGCCTAGGGCTCTCAAGGCCAGTAATGCCCCACTCTCAGGAACAGCAATAGTTGCATTAACTCCCTAGAAGAGAAGGGAAGAACATAGAAAAAAACTTGTATTCATATAATGGAATGCATGATCATGGAGCATCTTTACAGTCAATTAAGTACTTTTACACTGTAGTCACTGTATCAAAAGGAAGAATTTTATCCTGCACGTGTGTCAGATTCCTGGAAGTTGCCAAAATATTTTCATATTTCAGCAGCCCAATATCCTAAACCTTTTCAAACCTGGAACCGCCTTTAATAATGGTTAGTTTAAAATCTGGATGATGACACCTCTAAGGAACCCCACTGATAAATACCAGGCATGCTGATCATATAAAAAATAGATGTGTTAATCTACAAGCCATTGGCAAGCTCAAATTGTTTCAAGTACCCAAACAGGTCTAAAGGCAAATACAGTGCTCAAGGTAATTGTGACGTATTTTGTTCTGCACAATGTCAGCCAAGTCTATTGTTTTTGGAGGAACAAATTAATTAGCATTCTACACCCCATGAGGATTCCAGTGGAAGACAAGAAGGGAAAGATTAAGCTGGGGTCACTGATTCAAGATTCCTGCATATATTCCTGGTTAGGATTTATGTCATACAGCCTAATAAATTGAGAAGAGACTCAGATTCAGGACCACATTCATTTATTTTCATGTGTATGCATGGAGAGCCAGTCTTATCACTATGGAGTGTAAAACCAACGCTGCCTGGGAGCAGACACCTCTTATCTTTATGTAAATATTTCAATATTACATATAGCAATTCCCACGATTCATTTCCCAGGTGTCTTTTGTAATTTTGTGTTTTCCCAATGTTTATACAGGTGTTGTCAATACCAAGGCTCAGTCAGTCACATACTGTATCAATAGCTATCAAATCCCTTCAGCGCCAGTGGCACAATTAGAAGTCCTATGAGCAACCACTCATCAATTATCCAGGCACCAGTTAGTCTTGGCCGGTTCATCTCTTCACATCCGTCCTCAAACAACTGAAAATCGAGTTGCCATTCAGCAGGTAAGAATGTTGAACACAGGAAAGTGTTAATAAACCTCATGAATAAGTAAATATAAATTAAACTTCAAAGATATGCAAGTAGGTGTTTCTGGAAATGTAGATGAGCTTTTCCAAAATGCTCCAATTGTCACATCTGTTATTCATTTCTGACCAGACAAAACATTTTAGTTTTAAGACTCAAGCTGACATTTCTTAGAATATTGCCTAATTTTATAATAAAATTTTTGGCTTTTCCAGTCCTTTTTCAGATTTCAATGTTGCTGTTGACATCCAATGTTGCACTGCTCCCAAGACAGTTCAGTTCTCACATGCTTCAATTTGTTGTGAAGCCACACACTGGAGTATCTCTTTTCTTTGACATTTCCACAATGTATGCTTTCTTGCAGTTGAATGTAAATGCATGTTTCCAACTCTCTCTTACAAGTGTATTGATTGATATTTGGAAGTTAACTCAGATTCCACCTGAAATGGCAAAATGTACAATTGCTCAGGAATCCCTTGACAGCTGCAGTGGGCTTTGCTATGGCTTTTCATTAAGCATCTGTTTCAGAGTTCCATGACCAGAAAGGTTTGGGGGTGGGGGTGGGGTGTTGGTGGTGTCGTGTGTGAGAGATGTACTGGCAACTCCATCAAAATAAGGATGTCTAATTAACAGCACTCCAGCATGGATTAGAAGAGCTGATGGTGCAGCAATCATAAGAATGGCGAGGAAACTTGGACAGCTAATGAACAGTACAGCACAGGAACAGGCTTTAGCCCACAATGTCTGTGCTGACTGTGATGACAAGATGTCTTTGTACAGCTGTGGCAATCTCCTTAATCAATGATATAACTTCCCCTCCCTTTTACCATCCCTCTCTATCTTGCCTGAAACATCTAAACCCTGGAATGTTGAGCTGCCAGTCCTATCCTTCTGTCAACCAAGTTTCTGTAATGGCTACCAAATTGTAGTCCCACATACTAATCCAGGCTCTAAGTTCACCTGCCTTACCTGTTATACTCCTTGCATTAAAATAAATACAGTTTAAAACTGTTAGTCCTGCCATGTTCATTCACCCTTGCTTATCCTTCCTATTACTTGACTTAACGTCAACCTTCTCCTCAATCATTCCACATGCTGACCTACTGCTCTGTTTCCCACCCCTCAACCACACTAGTTTAAACCCTCCCAAATGGCACTACCGATCACTCTGCAAGGATATTGGTGCCCCTCCAGTTTAGGTGCAACCCATCCTTCTTGTATAGGTCCCACCTGCCCTGGAAGAGAACCCAATAATTCAGGGGCCCTCCCTCCTACACCAGCTTTTTATCCATGTATTCATCTGTTATTACCTTGCTACTTTGGGCCTCACCACACCTGGCACCGAGAGTAATTCTGATACTACCATCTTCGAGGTCCTGCTTTTCAAATTTCAACTTAATTCCATATATTCCCTTTGCAGGATCTCATGTCTTTTTCTGCCTATGTTATTAGTACCAATATGGACCATGACCTCTGGATGCTCACCCTCCCCTTTCAGAATATCCTTTCTCTGCTCAGTGACATTCTTCACCCTGGCACCAGGGAGGCAACATACCATCCTGGAGTCTTGCTTGTGGCCACAGAAACTCCTATCTGTACCGCTGAATATCAAGACTCCTTTTGTTACTATTCGCCTACACTTTGATCCGACTGTATGACACAGCCAATTGTGGTGCCACTGATCTGGCTGCCTGTTGCTTTTCCCCCGAGAGGCTAGTCCACCTCAACAGCATCCAAAATAGTATATCTGTTTGAGAGGGGAATGGCCACAGGGGACTCCTGCACTGCTTGCGCACACTTACTAGTCTTCCTGGTGGTCACCCAATGTGTTCTTTTTGTGTAGCCCTTACTTGTGATGTGACCAGCTCACTAAATGTGCTATCAAAGATGCTCTCAGCCTCATTGATGCTCCATAGTGTGTCCATCTGCAACACCAGCTATTCCATGCGGCAAATCAGGAGTTGCAACTGAACACACTTCCTGTGTATATGGTCACCATGGACACTGAACGTGTTCCTAATTTCCCACACTTCAGGAGGAGCATTCCACTGGGCCGAGTTCTCCTGCCATTGTGAACCTTATCAACTACAAACAATAAACTAGGAACCAGTTACACAATCTTACCCACTACTCACTAAAATCAGATTTCTCACTCTCTCTTCAGATCCTAACTACAAACTGCAAGAATAAATACTTTACACTCTGTCTCTCTCCAGACACTACTCACTCAGACTCCAGACCTGGTTTCTGAATAGCCAATCCTATGTCATTTTTGGAGTTGTGATGTCGCCTCCGGAGCTCTGCCTCTGGATCCAGCTCCACAGTGCTCCAACAGACCTTGATCTAGGTGCCACTCCTCAGGCTTTATCAGGATCACTGCCATTGCTGCCATTTACAGCCAGGTTCGGTTTCCTCTGCTCCCACTGCCATCGTTGCTCTAACTCAGGTTGCCTGCCTTTGATCTCTCTCTCGTCTGCTGTGGAAGGTGAATTTGTGAAGTGAGGTGTTTTTCCAAGGGTGCAAGGCAGCAGCCAACCTCTTCAATCAAGTATGTGCATATTGAATAGGCCAATAAAGTCATCAGCTGCGATACAGTCTCTCTAACCCGAAAACAGTGCACCAAGAGTATCCAGAGCCCCAGAAGGGCAGAAAAAGCAAACGGCATAACATTTTTAGTACTAAAGACCATTTCTTTTATAGATTAATATCAATAATCTAGAATTGGATATACAGGACACAATTCCAGTTTTGTGAATGGCACAGCACTTGGGAACACAATTCTAAAGAAGACAAAGTTTGATTTCAAGAGGATATTCATCGGCTGGTGGTCTGGCTGGACATATGCAGATGAAACTTAGATGGACAGAGGTGTAAAATGATACGTTTTTGGAGGCAGAATGAGGAGAGGTCATAAAAAACACAATAAAAATTAAAAAAAAAAGAATAAGAGATGAGAGACTTCAGGTCTGAGAGTAGATTGGAGAAGCCAGTCCTGTTCTCCTAAGAGAAGAAAAGGTTGAGAGGCAATTTTATCAAAATCATAAGTGGTCCATACATAACAGATAGAGTGAAAATGTTTTCGGCAGTAGGTGAAAACCAGTGACACTCATTTAAGCTGAATAGCAGAAAGAAAAAAAAGGCGCTGCTCAAGATTGCGCTGGAAGCAAATTCAATCATTGCTTTTAAAAGGCATTGGAAAAATATCTGAATAGGAATAAATTTGGACTAAGGGAAAAGGCAGGTGAGCAGTAGTAACTGAATGGCTCTTGCAGATAGCCAGCATGGAAATAATGGGTTGAATGTTTTCTTTTTATGCTGTAACCACTCAATGATTCTATGACTGAGGTGGGCAATGGATAACGAGAGGTGAGAGGGTGGAACAAGATGAGATGCTCAAAAGGAGGAGAAAGTGCCAGAAGGGGTTGACAGACTAAAGCATGATTTGGCGAGAAGAACCATATTGCCAAAGTCTAAATGGTCAGGCAGTGAGGTGTCATCACTCCTTAGCTAGGTTTCTGTTAAGGCCAGGATGGTGATGCAAACAACCACAAGAAGCTTAAGAGTGGTAATGGTCTTGTTGGTATGTCTTTTAAAAATTCAGTCTTGGGATGAAAGCATCATTATAAAGGGCACAGAAAAAATTTACAAGGATGCTGCCAATTGGAGAGTTTGAGTTTTAAGGACAGGCTGAGACTTTTTCCCCTGGAGTGTCAGAGGCTGAGGTGTGATCATACAGAGGTTTATAAAATCATGAGGAGCGTAGTTAAGGTGAATAGTCAAGGTCTTTATCCAAGAGTGGGGGAGTCCAGGTGGGATTAGTTCACTTTAGAATACCTGGTCAATGTGGATGAGTTGGACTGAAGGGTTTGTTTCTGTGCTGTATGACCCAATACTCTATAATTGTTCATTCCTAATTGCCTTTGAGCAAGCATTGGTTAGCCATCTCCTTCAACAACTGCAGTCCATGTGATGTAGGTACACTCATAGTTTTTAAACTTTTTTGTTGTGGCTTCAAACAACTGAGTGAATTGTTAGGCCATTTCAGAAGGACGTCAAGAGTCATCCAGATTGCTGTGGTTTTGGAATCAAATATGAGCCAGACTGGGTAAAGATAGTTTCTTTTCTTTTCTAAAGAACATCAGTAAACTAAATAAGTTTTCATAACAGTTTGGTAGTTTCAATGACTATTGTTAAGGAAATTTTTAAAAAAATCCAGATTTATAGAGTAACTATCACTGTGGGATTTGAACTCATTGCTCCACAGCATTAGTTTGAGTCTCTGGGTTTCTAAAAGCCTTCTGCGTTCTTAACACATCACAATAACAGAATGCTACATCCAGGAATCTTATACAGAAAAGGAAAAAATGAAGTTGGAAATTTGTTTTGACAGTTGATAACATCCTCAGTTTACACAAAGGCTTTTCTCTTTGCCTGCTTTACCACATTATTTAAAAAATGCAAGTTACATAAAATTAAGAAGAAATATCCTGTAGTATTTCAAAAACAATTTATTTCCAAAAGGTGAAACTGGCAATTCTTTATGAAAGTATTCTTACTTTGCACAAAATAGTAAAGAAAACACTGTACGCATTCACCATCTAAAATGCAATCCAGCTACATATGGTTTTATCAATTTGGGAGGAAAAAAAAGTGAGAAAACCACAAAAGCAAATAACACAAGGATCCAATGTGGAAAACAGTCCGGATCTTAGTCCATTTACAAAAAAGGAAATGTTGTTGTTTTTCTCAAAACAAAACAAAAACAAATGTTAAATTATAGTTCTACAATAACAGTTAGCTCAGTCCCAAAACTTAAATTACTTGTTATGATCCTTGGCTTGACTGTCAAATTTATGTTACAAACTGGCTAAAAGAAAGCTTACTCATCCTTAAACGAAGACAAAGTTAGAGATCCAGGGACTTATTCACAGAGTAAAACGGCCAGATTCCATTTTGAACAAACAACACTTAACTTTACAATATTAGGACAATAATACATTTTGCAAGACATGTATTAGTCAGAATTAATATGTGTAAAAATGGGAAATAGACATGATTGAACAACCCAAAGTGCACATCAAATAGCAAAATGTGATCAAGACAGATTCCACAGATTTCTCAAAGCAATTGACCCAGATATACTGATACAGTGGCTCATCTAATCTCATTAAGTTGCACAAGGGATTACAATTCTGAACTTTTGCTGATCTTACCTTGATACACCCTCTCAAAACCGCTGTGTCACAGATTGCCTTGGCGACTGCCCCTGTCTGGTCGATCAACCACTTTTTGTGTTTATTCTCACCTGACTCCAGTACCCTCAGAAACAAACCCTCAATTTTTTACTGACAATTAGCTTTAAAGAACCAGCCCTGCCCCTTTCCTCTGAGCTCCAATCTTGTTCAATTACATCAAACAAATACTGCTTATGAGTTACTCATCCCCAACCTGCAGTGACTGAGGAATTAATACTCACAGGCTTCTTCGAAGCAGCTCATGGCATCTCCAAACTCAGCCAGCAACCTTCCCACTTTCTCAGCACTTCTCCAGACCTGAACCCTGATTTCAACACTTAGCTGTCTATTAATTCCCAGAACTTCTTCCTCAGTTCTGACAGGACTGAACTAGCCAAGGGCTGTGATCTCTCACTGAATCCTTCTCAGAATCTGCATTGTCCTACTGCCTTCGTAGAAGTACAGTTAACTGCAACACTCCTAATATGGAGGCTAACTCTGTCTCCTTCTCCAGTTAATGGTGTTCTTTGAAGTCCTCTTCAGTGACCTCTAAGCTGCCTTGAGTAACTTACTGAAAACCTCCCAATTAGCCCCTCCAGTTTTCTAGGCAGAGTTGAACATTACGAACATTTTGAAACAGTTAAATGTAAGTGCCCTTGAAATTGAGTGTACCCTTTAGATCACATTCACAGAATGCTGGAATGGATTTCATCTCATTGTGCAACAAAAAAAAAGGTCAATCTTTCATTTTCTTATGAAACTTAAATTGTCTGTCTTTCACCTTAATTATTCTTATTTTGGGGTTAAATTTGTGTGGAAGTCAAATGTTATTAATGGTTCAGAGAGATCAATGGATGAAGTTCCATGATCTACATGTCCTGTCTCCTTGTCATTAAATCAAGAATGTCAGCCACCATAACAGCCACATACATGAAGTTTACTTTGTCAGTTACTGCAGCAATTGTATGTTACAATCTGTAAAATAGAAATTATTTAAGCTTACCTTATTGAACCATCCAGGATTTTTCTTTTTTGCTATTGCAAGAGTTGTGCCAAAACCTGCTAGCATCCCAGCTGTGCCTACCGACCCAAGGAACAGACCACCTAGCAAATTTCCGTAAAACATTTCAGATAATTTGTACTTTTTTCAAAAATAATAGATGGGCTAATGCAAAGGATGGTTGAGTAACTGAACTGTAAAGCCCACCAGAAATTAAATGTATTTTCTAATACTGTGATACTGAATTTTGTTCAGGTACGGTAAATTTCATAGCAGCTTTGATACATATATTACTATTTATATCATGCAGTACATTTAAAAAGACTCAAGGTGGTAAATGCACTAGCTGTATGTCATCAGGATACAGAGACAAGGAATATGTCAGGATAATTTGAGGCAGTAATTTGAACACTACAATTAGCTTCAGTCATATTTCAGAAATGTAAGGGACAGGTAAAAGTCATACTAGAGTTATGTAAGACCTTAAAGTGCTATAAATACTTCTGGACAGTACACTTTGAAACTTATAGAATACTGGGAGGCCTGGAGAGAATGGATGTGGAGAAGATGTTTCCAAGAGTAGGAGAGACTAGGATCGGAGGACTGAGTAGCTACACAATTCACTGGCCTCTGTTTTCTCTATGCTCTCTTCTTAGCCAGCTGACCTTTTAGTTTCCGTTCAGAGTGAAGGGACGGCCTTTTAGAATGGAGTTGAGCAGGAATTTCTTCAGCCAGAGGATGAAGAATCTGTGGAACTCATTGCCAAAGAAGACTTTGAAAGTAAAGTCATTGACTGTATTTAAGACATCTGTCTTAATTAGTTCTTCATTAGTAGGGGGATCAAAGGTAACAGGGAAAAAGGGAGGAGAACAGGGCTGAGAAATATACAAGTCATTATCAAATAGCGGAGCAGACTCAATGGGCCAAACAGCTTAATTCTGCTTCTATAACATATGGTCTTATGGACGTTGACACTGCCAACTGGGAGATTGTCAACTGACAGCCATGATCTTTGGAGGCTGATTATTTGGAAGGATGTCAGAAAAAGTGAACAAAAACTAAAGGCTCAGCTGACTAAGAAGAGAGCCCAGAGAAAACAGAGGCCAGGGAATCATGTAGCTGCTCAGCCCTCTGCATTGTTCTGCAGTAAATGCAGCACAGAGTGCCATGCGAGAGTGGGGTTCTTGACCCAAACGAAGGGTGCTTAACACAGATATGATCACTACATTGCTGACCATCATCTTATGAGATAGAAGGCCAGCATTGCGTCTTGACCACCAAGATGAAGCAGTGATTCCATGAAGAAGTCTGCGATCAGAAATGGGTCATTGCACGAAAAGACTTCATTATAAACTGTGTAGCACATAACATGAAGTGGAAAATCTGTTAAATCACATCCCAAACCTTGTGGTCAACAAAACATGGCAATAATTCCTAATAGATAATTTCAGAAAAGTACAAGCAGCCCCTAGCAATCAAAGTCTTTTTGCTTATTGTTTATGATCTACACAGCAAATTGCTGGAAATCATTCAACAAATTCTATAAACACTACTTCTGTCATTGTCGTTCTGAGCAAGCCATTTTCAAATTAGTCTTGCCAGAGACAATCACTATGGACGACGAGTCACAAACCTAATAGCAAACCTACATTGCATGGATTGCAGAAGTTCAAGGAGGTGCCTCACTACCACCTTCTCAGGGGCAATAAAGGATAGGCAGTAAATGATGGCCCAGTCAGTGATGCCCACATTCTGTGAGAATAAAAGAAAAAATTCCAGGCAGTTTACAGAGTTCCTAGCCAGCTGCTGAACTCACTACCATCCGTCATAAAGTTACAACCTAGAATCAAACAGTGGCATCAAATAATTCAACAAGATAATCAAGGTCAGTCCAATCAAAAAGGAGGCCACGTTCTTGAGAACGAGGCTGGCTGGATGGATGGATCAAGTGCCAATAGGGGGACATTAGAGGAATTTGATCATTGTATTATAAGGTTTAGGTTGGCATAGAGAAGGAAGAAAATTGAGAGGAAGAATAATTAACTGGGGGGAAAACCAACTTCAATGGGATAAGAATGGAGCTGGGCCAGATTAAATTGGTATCAAAGGTTGGTAGGCAAAACAGTAACTTAACAATGGGCTGCATTTAAAGTAGGTATAGTTTCAACACAGTCAAGTTTCATTCCCTACAAAGAGACATACAAGTTATAAAAGAATGGCAAAAGGAAAATTTGGGCTGATTGGGGTCTCAAAAGATTTACCCATGGAGGGAAGAGGCATATTTTTCTAATCAGCTAATTCAGGGATGTTATTACACACTTCTAGAGCCGGTGGGACTTGAATAGCATAGGTATTAAGTGAATATTTTGTACCTGCTTTTACCAAGCAAAAAGCCACTGTGTTAGTCCTGGTGAAACAGAAGATAAAACAAAACTTGAAGGGCGTAAATTGCTGAGGTAAAGGCATTGGATTGAATATGTATAACCAATGTTGATAAGGGACCAGATCAGATGTATCAAAGGATATTGAGGGAAGTGAGATTAGAAATTACAGAGGCACTGACCAAACTTTTTCCTGTCTTCTTTAGATTCAGGAAAATGCCAGAAGACTGCAGAATTGCAAACGTTACACCCTTGTTCTAGAAGGGTGTTAAGATAAGCTCAGCACTTACAAGCTCATTAATTAAGGGTGATGATGGGAAATTCTGGAAACAATAAATTTGTTCAAATTAATAATTATTTGGATAAATACAGTTTCGCTCAGGAATGCCAACACATGTTGTTAAAGGCATTTTGTGTTTAACTAACATACTGGAATTTTTCTGAATGAGGTAACTGTGAGAGTTAATGAAAGCAACGCTGTTGGTGTGGTGTACACAGACTTCCAGAAGTCATTTGATAAAGTACTGCAGAACAGACTTGTGAGTAAAGTTAAAGTCCAAAAATAAAATGGACAGTAGCAATACAGATATGAAACTGGTTGAGTAACAGGAAAGAGAGACTAATGATTAATGGATGTTTTTCAGATTAGAAGAAGATTTGTAGTGGAGTTCTATAGGTGTCCGCTTAGTGTCCTTGCTCTTCCTTATATATTAATAATCTAAGTCTTTGTACAGGGAACAATTTCAAAATCTGAAGATTAAACCAAACTTTGAACCAGGAGGAGGAAAATGTAGAACATCAAAGGTTTACAGAATTAGCAGACACAGGTCAGATAAAATTTTAGACACAGAAGCATGAAGTGATTCTTTTTGGTAGGAAGAATAAGTGATAATATCAGATAAAGAGTATAATTCTAAAGTGGGTGCAGGACCAAAGGGACTTCACTACATACGTGCATAAATCTTTGAAATTGTAAGGAAAGGTTGACTGATAAATACTTAAAAATAAACACTCAATCATCCAGGTTTTATTAAAATGGGAATTGAATACAAATGCAAGGAAGCAATATTAAAGTTAAATAGAAGTGGTTTGGCTTCAACTATTGTGTTCAGTTCTGAATGCTACATTTTGGGGAAGATGTGAAAGCATTAGAGAGTTCAGAAATGATTCAGGAAAATAGTTCCAGGGATAAAAAACTTCCATTACAAAGGCAGATTAGAAATGTTGGGACTGTTTTCCTTGGAGAAGGTCGAGAGGAGATTTGTTAGAAGTAATCAATCAATCAATCTGGATGGAGTAGACAAGGAAATACTGTTCCCTCGGTGGAAGAATTAAAGAACCCAGGGGTGCAGTTTAAGATTGAGAAACCTTTTCATGGATTATTAAATCAGATTGGTATTGGAAAGGAAACAAGTGTGCAGGGCTATGGGAGAAAGTTTGAGTGGAACTAGATAAAATGGTCCTTTGGGGAACTGACAGTCACGGTTGGCTGAATGGCTTCTTGCCGTGCTGTAATAATTCTGACAGCCCTAGAACTAACATTTTGGGAAAGCAAAGTATCCAACCATCTTTCATATCCTACTACACACAATCGTCCCACAAACACATCAGTTGAGCCAGTCGTAACTTTTGAATGTTGCTGTTCATTTTTAAAGGTCACCGCTATCCAACAACAATGACAGAGCAGAGGAAATTGCAAAGTGACAAGATAAAGCAAAAGCCTGTCCAACAAGCAAACACGTGCAAGAAAACCACAATTTGAAGTTTGAGATAACAAAAGTGTAGAGCTGGATGAACACAGCAGGCCAGGCAGCATCAGAGGAGCAGGAAAGCTGACGTTTCGGGTCTGGACAGCTTTGCTGCTCCTCTGATGCTGCCTGGATTGCTGTGTTCATCCAGCTCAACACCTTGTTATCTCAGACTCCAGCATCGGCAGTTCCTACTATCTCTCAATTTGAAATTTGAGACTGGGTTCACATCAAACAGCCGAAACATGGCCATAAGCTTGCAGGATCTCTATCAGGCCCAAAGCAGTTCATGCAGCTGCTCAGTATGAACCCTTGTCTGTTGGACAGAGTCTAACAAGTCTTATTCTTGCTAGCAACCGTACAAGATATTTTGAGGACTATGAATGACTGCGCTATTCATCATCTAATCCAAGGTGATCACATTCACCCACAGCTCCAAGGTCAGCACCAACATCAGCAGCCTCTATATTTCATATGATTTGTGTCATAATGCTTCTCAAAATGTCTGAGGTCACACAACACCAGGTCATAGTCCAACAGGTTTATCTGAAATCACACAAGCTTTCAGAGCACAGCCCTTCGTCAGGTGCAGTAGAGAGAAGAGCACATAGGCCCACAGTTTATAGGCACTCTTGGTCACCTGCAGAGACTTATCATCTGACATTCCACTCACACCAGTTGTATGATCTTTTGATCTCTCTGCTCTTGATCTCCCTATCTATAAACTGTGGATCCATATGCTCTTCTCTCTCACTGGACATGATGAAGGGCTGCGCTCCGAAAGCTTGTGTGATTTCAAATAAACCTGTTGGACTATAACCCGGCGTCGTGTGACTTCTGAATTTGTCCAGCCCAGTGCAACACTGGCACCTCCACATCTCAAAATGTCTGCTATCTCAGGCCGACCATGGGTTTCAGTTTCTGCAGCCGCACACACAATCGAACACCGAATAATAACAATGAACGGTAATAACGCCAGGGGGTGGTAAAAGGGAAACAGAAGAGGAATACCGGTGGAGGGCTTTTAGTATTCAGACCTGATGGATGAATCTGGGTGGAGATCAAGAAAGAAAACTATAATTGGAAATACAAATTCTGGTTCAACAACAGCCACGTATTCCCACACCACATCTGTTCACAACTACCGATGTTTAAGAGGAGAGATTGAAGAATTTTATTTGCTACTCTGATGTTTAGCTTTTTAAGAAGTCTATATCACGTTACAACACAGCATTAAAACAATAGACATCTTAAAAATAGCTCAGTGTACTGGAAAAATTTAGTGGAGATAAAAGTACCATTTACCTTTAATCATTTGCACTTTGTTTTCAGCAGTAGACTCGAGTATCTCGTTGTGGGCCCGTAGAACCGGCTCTCTCATAACACAATCACATTTAGTGTCTTCCAGACTGACTGTACTTTTATCAGTTGCCATCTCGATTGACGAAAACCAGAATAAATTATCTGCCCGTCACCTTTAAAATAAAAACCTCGAATGCAATCTGACATTTCTAATATACATTCTTTGACGAGCTAAAAGGTCAGCCCCTCATTCCTCGTAATGTATATTTATTATTACAATTCTTCACCTTACATTTCTACCGACAAGGAACCATTGCTGATTAATAAGTACACAAACAGAAGCGATCGTTAAGCTGTTAAGATCGGGTCGATAACGTCCTTTAGGTGAGCCCACATAGGGGCACTCAGGTTAAAAACACAGGAGCGCATCACCAACCCAATGAATCATGGCAATAGTAGTCTTTCCGCTCATTTCTGATTCATGTTTCTCGGCAGGCGCCATCTTATATGGACTACAAGTCCCAGAATGCTTCGGTGCGGGGCGCCGTCGGTACGTGACCGTCTTGCTGGGCCGAGTTGTCAGGGCCCGGTTTTTCTCTGTTCGCCTGGCGATTGAGAGTCAGGTGGAGGCAGTGATCGTCCGTTTCTTCGTTTTTATCTCCCTTCGCTGTTTCTTTATGCGAGTATCGATAGCGGTTTTCTTCGAATGGGTTTTCATCGGGTATGCTTGTTCTAATAAATCAACCTGAAGGCTTTGACTGGAGAAGGTATTTCGTTTATGTCATTTTTAAACGGAATACCCTCCTCGGGCCCGAATCTCTGTGAAGAGGAAGGAGCTGATAATGAGTGTATGTCTGGCCAGGAGGCAGCAGTGATCCACCCCATCCCCGTCTCTCGCTCTGGAGGAGCCATTTTTCGTGCTGAAAATCCACACTAGGGATGCAGCGACTAACTGGACGTCAAAAACGTCAGCCTCTCTGCTCCTATGATGCTGCTTGGCCTGCTGTGTTCATCCAGCCCTGCACCTTGTTGTCCCGGCTTAGGGTCGGCCGTTTTCTTTTTTAAAATCAGTTAACGTCCTAATTGAGGGTGCATTTAAGTTGCAAGGCGGCAACAACGCCGATGGGTGAGCAAAACCGAGAAGCAATTCGTCAGTCAGCACACGCATTGACTCTGGATTGTGAAACGTCTGTGCTAAAGCAACCCGAGTATTTATAAACATCTTGGAAAGTGGTCCTATCCCCAGGGAATCAGGTGTGAGGGCTTCCTCAGATTTTCGCTTAAAATTCGCAAAAACAGTCTAGAATGAGCCTGAGTATGTAGGGCACGAAATCGCATATTGGTAAACATTTAATCGATTTCATTGTGGGACTTAATAACTGCTCTGTAATAATTTTAAAGAAAATCAGGTCGATTTAAAGTGGGACTTGCATCAGATGCGTTAGAAATTGGCAGACCATTCGATTCTGTTTACGTCAGTTGGATATTTTAGGGGAAAAAAAGGCTGTTTTTATTTATTTAATTAATCCTTTGAGGATTCGAAATGTAATTGGAATAAAAAATACAAACGTAATATTGGTGTGCATTGAGAATATGCGAGTCGATGCAGACGGCGAGGAAATTCACGGATGGGGTATTATCGTGTTCCCAAGGTCCACTGATTTTAAATAGTTATCTTTCTTTTGGAACTGAGATATAACAATCCAAGCTTTGATGCCGCCCCCATTGAAACAGTGCGAATACAGTCAGATTACGACGCAGAGCTCGTCTCCCATGGAGTCTCCTAAAAAGAAGAAAATTCCGCGGAAGAAATGGGAGATTTTCCCAGGAAGAAATAAATTTCATTGCGATGGCAGGATCATGATGGCCAGGCAAACTGGGGTCTTCTATCTGACACTTGTCTTGATTGTGGTCACCAGTGGACTTTTCTTTGTATTCGAGTAAGTAATATTGTTTCATAACAAGTTTATTTATTTTAAAATGTTTGAAATTCAAATTTCCCAGATGGGAAATAGTAGTACATATATTTCTGATTTACTTCAATATATGTTTCAATCCAGTAAAATATCACTAAATATCAACAAAATATCAATAAATAATATATGTTGCAATCACATGCTGTATTAATTTTATAGTGACAAGTGTAAATTGTACTCCAGTCTGTGCTCATGAACGAATGATCCCAACCCCGTACAGTTTACTCATGGCAGAGTTTATTTTTAAAAAGAGTTTCCTGTCAACTCAAAATCCAAAATTTGCCGTTCTCGTCGTGTTGCTCTGCTGTTAATTTAACAAATGTGAATATGAACAAAAAGATATGACTGGCAAGTTAATGACTGAAATGCACTGAACTGTGTGAAGTTGTTCCGTTTGCATGATAGATGCTGGCCGCACCCACATAATGTGTTTTTTTTTGTATGTTCCCATCAAAGTACCCTTTTAATGATGTGTTGTGTATTAATTACGACAAGGCAACCCCTCTGGCTCTGTAAATCAGCTACTATGAGTCTGGAGACTTGTTCCTTCATGATTCTTTAGTTGTTGGAAATTGTAAAGTTGTCAAATTTCAAATTAAATGTTGCACTTCTGAGAATTTCTTTTTGTAACAAATTTAACATTAAATTCACCATTCTGTTTTGTGCTTCTTTCTCAATTCTTTCATTTTTAATTTTACAATCTTTGAAATTAATTAGTTAAAGGTATGCACTGTTGCTTGTTTTGTTCAATCTGGCCCAGATTGCATTTGTGCTGTTACCAGCTTATGTTTCAGTAATTTGTAATGCAAAAAACATAAAAGAAAAAAAATGTTGGACTTTTAGCAAGTGTCAGAGTCAATTAAGTCTTCACTCAAGTTTTGAAATGATTTAAAGCAGATGAACTGGAGATAGTAATTATATTTACTTTCGTATTTGTACGACGAAACACATTATAATGTCTGAGCAGTAGTATCAAAACTCCATAGCCCTGCGTAGAAAAGTGATTTCCAAGTGACTGCCTCCAGCGCCTGTGACTCGGGTACCATTTTCTATTGGAGTAGATACAAGGTGATACCATAACTGCTTACAGAACCCTTTCTTTATACTTTTTCTATGTCGCAACATCTATGAAGACTGATTTAACTTAATCAATACATTATGATTTTAGCTGGCAAATTGCGAGAGATGTCAGGTGTTCATCTTTCAGACCAGGTTAATGCAGTGGGATTCCAGTTTCTTTTTATGCTCTCTGATCCTTATCAATATGTTGATATTTGAATGCTCATTTCCAGGCGTAGCAAGAAAAATATTGTGGCTTTGGGACCCCGCTGTCTTATTTAAGATTCAAGGCACAATCAGTTCCTCTGCTGCCTTGATTTTCAGAATGCTCTCAATAAAGTCGCGTGTAAGAGCTCAGTGTGCCAAAGTGAAGCACATAGGATTGGGAGTAGTGAATATTTTCTAATCAACCTGTTCAGAGATGTTATTACACACCTCTGGAGCAGATGGCACTTGAACCCTGGCCTTGCTGTCTAGAAGTAGGAACACAACCATTGCGCCACAAGAGATTGGGGGTAATATACTGGCATGGACTGAGAGTTGGTTAGACGTCAGGAAATGAAGAGTAGGAATAAATTAGTCCTTTTCAAAGTAGAAGTGGGATGCCACAGGGATCAGTGCTTGAGCCCCAGCTATTTATATATCAACAGTTTGGATGAGGGATTCCAACATAATATTTCCAAGTTTGCTGATGACACGTAACTAGGTAGGATTGGGAATGATGAGGAAGATGTAAAGAGGCTTGAAGGTGATTTAGACAATGAATGGGCAACTGGATGGCAGATGCAATACTGTGCTGATGAATGTGAAGTCGTTCACCTTGGTTGGAAGAAACAGGATGGCAATTCTTAAATGGTGGTGGATTGGGAAGTGTTGATGTACACTGGTTACTGAAGCAGTTAATAAGGAAAATGGTATGTGGCCTCCAGTGAGGAAGGATATTAACTTCAGTAATGTGGAATCTGTATGAGTGCAACTTAGAAACACAAAGGGGCAGAAAACGATAATGGGTTGTGTATACATTTCAAACTGTAGTGATATTGTTGGGAAGACATTAAACAGGGAATTAGAGACACAAGTAATAAACGTACAGCTTAATTATGGGCAACCTTTATCTGCATGTAGACTGGGCAAATCAAATTAGTAACAGTATTATAAGAGGAGGACGCCTGGAATGTGTACAATTCTGGATTAGTACATTGAGCAACCAACTGGAGGACAGGCCATCCTTGACTGGATATTGCATATTAGCTGTGCGAGATGCCTTGGAGAAGAGTGACTATTAACTGACAGAATTCTTCATTAAGATGGAGATCACATAATTGATTGAGACCTGGGATTGGAGTAGTGCACTGACATGGATAGGGAACTGGCTGGCAGATAAACAACAAAGACTAGGAATAAATGAGTCACTTTCTGAGTGGCAGCCAGTGACCAGTGGGGTACCAATGGAATCAGCTCTTGGACTTAGCTATTCATAACATAGATTAATGATTTGGATGAGGGAACTAAATGTAATATCTCCAGGTACGCAGATGACACAAAGCTGGGTGAGAAGGTGAGCTGCGAAGACGATGCTGAGATGCTTCACTGTGACTTAGACAGGTTAAGTGAGTGGGCAAATGCATGACAGATGAGGTATAATGTGGATAAATGTGCAGCTATCCACTTTGGTAGCAAAAACAGGAAGGCAGACTATTATCTGATTGGGAATACATTAGGAAAAGGGGAGGTGCAACGAGACATGGGTGTCCTTGTAAACCAGTTGCTGAAAGTAAGCATGCAGGTGTGCCAAGCGCTGAGGAAGGCAAATGCTATGTTAGCCTTCATAGCTAGAGGATTTGAGTACAGCAACAGGGAAGTCTTGCTGCAATTGTATAGCACCTTGATGAGACCATACCTGGAATATAATTTTTGTCTTCTTATCCAAGGAAGGATGTTAAATAAGAGCCCATGGTGTTAAGGGCATGGTGTTAAGGGCAAGGTGCTGGCATGGATTGAGGATTAGCTGACTGACAAGGCGGAGAATGGCAGTAAAGGCATCTTTTTCAGGATGGCAGCTGGTGACCCTTGCAGAGACCAATGCTGCGATCACCATTGTTTATGTTAGACATTAATGATTTGGACAAAGGGACTGAGGATAGTGTTGCTAAGTTTACAGGTGAGACAAAGATAAGTGGACGGATCAGTAGTGGTGAGCAGACTGCAGAAGTATTTGGACAGGGTATGAAAGTGGGCAAAGAATTGACAGATGGAAAACTGTTTGGGACAGTTTGAAGTTATGTACTTTGATAGGAACAATAGAGGCATAGATTTTTTTCGAAATAGGGAAAGGCTTCAGAAATCTGAAGAACAAAGGGACTTGGGAGTCCTAGCTCAGGATTCTCTTAACGTTAACATGCAGATTCAGTTGACATTTAGGAATGCAAATACAACGTTAGCATTCATTTCAAGAGGGCTGGAATAGTAGTGCAGGGATGTCCTGCTGAGGTTGTAGAAGGCTCTGGTTAGATCACATTTGGAATATTGTGAGCATTTTTGAGTCTCAAATTTAAGGAAGGATTTGCTGGCATTGGAGGGGATCCAGAGAAGGGTTGCAAGAGTGACTGCAGGGATGAAGGGCTTGACATAAGAGCAGTGGTTAAGGACTCTGCGTCTGTATTTGATGGAGTTTAGAAGACTGAGGTGGGGGAGGATCTCATTGAATACTGAGAGTCTTGGATACAGGGGATATCGAGAAGATACTTCCACTAATATGAGAGATTAAGACCTGAGGGCTCAGCCTCAGAATAAAGGGACTACCCTTTAGAACTGAGATGAGGAGGAATCTCTTTAGCCAGATGGTGATGAATCTGTGGAATGCTGTGGAGGCCAAGTCATTGAGTGTAGTCAAGACAGAGATAGGTAGGGTCTTGATTAGTGAGGGGATCAAAGGTCATGTGGAGAATAGAGGAGAATGAGTTTGAGGAAACAATTCAGCCATGATCAATTGTTGGAGAAGTCTCGATGGGCCAGGTGGCTTAATTCTGCTCCTATATCATATGATCTGTGGTCTTAAGTGGGCAAAAAGTTGCCAAATAGAGTATAATGTGGGAAAATGTGAAGTTGTTCATTTTGGAAGGGAGAACAAAAGAACAGTATTATTTAAATGGAGAAAAAACTACAGAAAGTTGCAGCACAAAGGGACTTGAGAATACTTGTACATGAAGGACAGAAAGCTAGCACATGGTACAGCAGGTAATGAGAAAGGCTTATGGACTATTGGCACTTATGCCAAGGGGTTTGGTGTATAAGAATAGGGAAGTCTTACTGCAACTGTACAAAGTGCTGGTGAGACCACTTCTGGAGTACTGTAAGGCAGTTTTGGTCCCACTATTTAAGGAAAGATTTCATTTCATTGGAGACAGTTCAGAGAAGGTTTGCTAGGATGATCTGCGGTCTGGAGGGATTTTCTTATGAACAAAGGCTAAACGGATTGAGACTGTACTTATTGGACTTCAGAAGAATGGGAGGTAATCTCATTGAAACACATAGGATTCTTAAGGCCAGAGAGGAATTAAAAATTTAGGTCAGACCGCTGCAATTTCATGCCTCACCTCCCACAGCAGCCTGAGATGCAGTTCATCCGGACCAGGGGATTTGTCTGTTTTCATGTCTGACAGAGCCTCCAATACCTCCCCATTTCCTAGTCAAACTGCACAAGTTCCTCACAGACCCTTTTCCTGAATTCTGTACATACGTTCTCCTTTTCCAGAGTGAAAACTAAAGAGAAATATTCATTCAACAGCTTCACACTCTGATTGTCCCCTTGGTCCCTAATAGGACCTACTCTTTCCCTGGTTAACCTCTTCCCTTTAATATATTGTGAAATATCTTAGGACTGCCCCCAGTCCTATTCGCAATGT